GGCTCGATCTGGCTCTTCAAATTCCCCAACTGAAAGAACCAATGAATTCAAATGCATCGGTATCTGTGTACTAGTATTTACATAAGTGCAAGTAATACATATATATATATGTATATACATCAAGAATATGCATGTACATACATATGTACATATATCTCTAGCTCTTAACCGGCTGTCACAAAACGTCCGATGTTTTTTTTTGCATCATTTGCCTTTTGCAGATCTGAGTTAGTCATAATGCTAATTAAATACATTTTGAAGGTTAACTTAACAGTATCCATATACATGTGTACGTACGTACATATGTATGTATGTACATATATACGCATAAACAGCAACAGTTTGCAAGTTAACCGAGAAGTTATAGCCGAAAATTGATAATTGGCAATAAAATGATTTAAATGGCAAAGGGCACAGCGGCTAAGGTTAGAACACACATATGTATGTACATATTTTAAATCTACCCAAGGGTAGATGCGTTTATAATAGTGTCTCAAGAAACAAGAACAAAATATTTAATTAAGACAATATTCAAAAATATTATTAGGAGACTTCTAATACATTTTGTGCGAAACACACACACACGAAACTAAAAAGAATCCGCATTTGAACATTTTACACACACACATGCGTGCACATACTTATGTACATGCATATATATGTATGTAGGCATATTCATGTATGAACGGTTTTCAGTGTGTACATGTACATTGTGGTATTGGTACCTGCACAAACTCGAATGTATAGCTACATACATATGTACATACATATGTTAATACCTGCATATCTATATACTTATTTGTTCATATGTATATATAAATATATACGTATATATATGAATATAGGTTCGTATGTACGTATGTCGCACTTATTGAAAGACTTGGCGCAACAATAAGCTCAGATGACGGCAATTTCGAGTAAAACTGGTATTTTGAATTGTCGTAGATTGCGTCTCTCTCTCTCTCTCTCTCTCTCTCTCTCTCTCTCTCTCTCTCTCTCTCTCTCTTTCTCTCTCTTTCATTCTCTCCCTGTCTGCTCCTATACTCAGCTTGCTCGGCTCTCCTCTGGTACTGGCTTAATGATTACGTGACGCGGTAGACAGAGTAGCTGCTTAAAACTTGATGAAATGATGTTGCTAGTAAAGTAGTGCTAGTGTAATTACGAGTATGGCAGTCTCAAGTACATATTCATGTATGTACATACATTGTGGTCTAATCCAAACCAGCATCCCATGAGCCCATTGCTTGCTACATCCGTATCTTTATATGTACATATATAAGACACACATACAGGGATAGAACAAAAGGCGGAGTCAGAACCAGAACCAGAAGCCCAGCCGCAGCCTTGGCAACGGATTAGCAATATTCCGACCGTATGTTGCCCACACATCACATCATGCATGTACATATGTATGTGAGTATTTTTGTGTTTATACATATGTACATATGTATCTATGTGCATATGTGTAGGAAATTCTTGCGGTACGGATGCGAACGAAGTTAAGTTGATCATAGTTATATTGAAATTGAAGATAAAGAAAAACTTTTATACAATTATTTTATAAGTATCAAGCCCTATTGCAGTTACCAAGTACGCTAAAGCACTTGGGAACAAACATGAGATTCAATTAACTGATTAAGTTTAAAAATTTGGATACCCTAGGAAAACCTTGTCTACTACCACTGTCTCAAAGGCATTCTAGTTCATGAACTTCTGCATTTTCGTGTAAGCCTTTAAGAAATCCAGAGATTTTAGTGAGATCTCAGTCTTTGAAAAATCTGGAGTTGTGTTCGCTTGTATGTACATAGATTCATACTGATGTACACGCATATGTCTGCATTTAGGTAACTCAATGCGATTATATATGTATGTATCATGTATTTTGATCCAATTTCCTGAGGTCTCGTAGAGGCTTATTCACATTTAATTGACATACCAAGAAAATATTTGTTCATACATATATACATAGCAATAATAATCCATTAGTAGTATGTCATAGCACTTTGTTACGTACATACACCGTTTAATATGTATGTATTCATGTTATATGTACATTTTTTAAACACAGAAAAAATACAAAAAAAAAGCTTGCAAATCGAGGCTAAAAGCCCCTTTGCATGCAACATTGCAACATTAATCAACGGTAAAATGGTAAAAATATGTAATATTCAACAAATACATATACATATACAATAAATATATATATGTACATATGCATTTGCTTGTAATTAGTAATTGGGGAATGCTACTAACATATATTTAGCTCACTTTTGCTAGTCTTTACTGTACTATACTGAACGTTGAATATACATATGTATATACAAATGTATACATCAAGCCGTAAACAACAGAGTTTCGCAACGGTATTGCGGGAACTCGGTCTTGTACGAGTATAGCAATAGCTTTGTTGTTTTAAATTTGTTAAATTTTTTTCGCGTCGCGCGTCGATGTTTTACTAACGCGGTCGGTGGATCGTTCGTTAAAATGATTTTTTTAAATTTGTTTTATTTTTTTTTTCTTTGTCAATTCTATGCAAGCGGCTAATATTTGTCCGTGCCCGAACGCGCACTAGTAGGTTACCTGCTTGCGACTGTTGCGGCCGTTTGCCATTTGACAGCGACTACCAAGCGTTTGGCGCTGCTCCACAGCGTCAGCCACTTCCGCTCCCACTTCTGCTTTGGCTCTGGCTGTGGCTCTGGCTCCCACCTTTTGGCCATGTTGGTTTACCATCAGACGAGCTTTGCCCACGTACCCGTATCTGTGCAATACATACATATTGCCGTTTGTTTGTATGTGTATACGTATACCTGTGCTGGTGTCTGTGAATTAATCATTCCGTTGACTCTCAGTCGCTCTCTACTCAGTGACGCGGTTTTTGACTTGTGCACCAGTGCAGCTCCCGTTTCTATGCCCCCCCGTCCCCGCGACCAGCGGTGCGCAACGAATTTGTATAGTCAGAACCAGCTTAAGCTGACCTACGCCTCTCGTCTCCATCACACTTGCCTGTGATCAACTAACCGAGACTCCGAGCTCTCGGACTGAGCTCTGATGGCGGGGTATCTCGACATAGCATCGGATTCAGTATCTGTACAAGTTTCTCTCGGCTTGTTGCTAAACCTGTTATTGTTATGTCTGCTTTATTTGCGTGGCTCAGTCTCTGGCTCTGTCTCTCACATAATTTGCTGGGTAAGCCGCTTGCCGTTTCTCAGCCAAGTTAAAAGTTTATGAAAAGTGGCTCGAAAAGAGCAAGGGATTGAGAGTTACTGAGCGCCACGCTCTTGACTTTTCCTAATCGTTGAACACATACAATGCACACAACTACGATTGATAATGATGCTCAGATCAGAAAGGGTTGTTGTTTGTTGCTAGCTCTGATGACTAAAATGCGACATTACTTACTTTGCTCAATTCAGTTTTGACTCATACTATTTTTCTTCGAAAAACCTATTAAGCACATATATTTATTCTATTTTCCAAAGCTATTTACTTATTTCAACTTGTAGAAGACGCAGATATCTCTGACCCTGAAATGGGTACATACTTACACTCTTAAATACAACATACAACACATTATAAACTTGGGTATTAGAACAAAAAAGGTGACATTATCGATTTACTGTATCTATTGATTCGTATAACAAACAATATTTATAAAATTAATAAAATATCTGTGCGTGCCATAGAATTAATTTTGATACCATTATACCCATTTTCAACGAGTTCAAGATATTTTTATGAAATTAGCGTCATTGATGTAATCATCAATTGAAGTTTTACATACGTTGACGTAATTTGAAAAAGGTACATATCAAGTATGCTTCACTTTAAGGATATTATTTAATAACTTTTCTCGATGCGAGCAATGGGTATTTCTATTCTTTACTTCTTTTTATTTATAATAATGTTGTAAGTGTTATTTTGTTGGCCTAACAAAAACATACTCGGACTAAGTCGCGTTGGGAAATGCCACGAACACTTACATCAAAATGTTTGCCTTCAATTTTATTATCTTTCCACTCATTTGACCCGTGAAAAATTCATATTTATCCGTACTATCTGAAGTTTAATTTAACATACACTTATATACATATATATAAAAACGAACTAAGAACCAAAAGTTGGAATCAAAAAACCACCTTGTTCATTAATTTCCTGCATGTTTCATCTTAAAGGATTGGATTTTGAAAAAAAAGTGAAATCTTTGTTGTTCGATATGGATTTGGATTAAACAAGTAAGTGTTCTAGTCGGTAAGTGATACGAAAACTCCCTGAACGGGGAACTGCTGTCCTAGGCAGTCTAGCTATCTTCTAACCATACATAAGCAAAATAACCCATGCACACACGCACGCACTCCGCTTGTTGTCGATTCAGAGTAGGTTAGGTTACATACATAAATGTGCACAAAAGCAGTATACCTATTTTCAATGGTCTCAGGGTATAAAAATGAGTGGTTTCAATTTTGCGAGTAATGGGGAGAGGTATCTATCAAATGAAATATTCCCAACCTGTGTATACTATTCGAGAGCTTACATACCAAATTTGGTCTATCTGCACTTAAAGTTTTTGAGTTATGTTTACAATACCAGGACATAAAATCGATTTTTATCGATATTTCGGAAATGTGACGGAATATCGACAACAAATGATAAACTCCTTTTGCATATGATATGGGTAAGTATATATTCCAAATTTGATGTCTCTAGCTTTTCTCGTTCATACAGACGAAACAGCTCGTAGTCCGGATAAGAAGTACATAGAAACTTGATGGGGCCGGACATGCCTCCTGCCTGTTACATACTCATTTTTTTTTTAATTTCATTGGTATTCAACATCATTTTCTTTATTCCTAATTAGTTCCTTAATTACCAAATAAGTAAGGTTGCAAAAAGTCTGTATTTGTTGCATAGTGTAATTATATCTTACGAGTAGGTGTAAATGCATCATAAACATCACTCATTGGAAATGACTTAGTTTCGCTAAAATAGAATTGTTTCTGTTAATGTACATGTACTTTAATTAACCAAATTAATCAAATCATTGAAAACATTACAGCAAGTGTTTTCTAAAGATAACAATTAAATTATTTAAATACACCCAGCCCTACCAATCGTCTTCAACATCACTTGAAATCTCTAGGCGGAAGCTGGTTTTGTAATCTTGTAGTTTGCGACGACAGTTTCTGCTCAGTGGATTGTTGCGCAGATCCACTAAAGCCAGGGAGTCACTGCTAATTGCTTCATCAGTATCAATCTCTGAAAGTGCCATTCGGGTTAGGTGATTGCTGAATTGGTGCAACGGTCGGGCCAGTGTACTTACCCAAAATAGCATTCTGTTGAGCATCCAAGGTGGCAAGCTTCTGTAGCTTAAAGACGACTTGAGGTAATGTTATAAACGAGTTGTGTGAGATATTTAAGGTGGTTAAAGCACTCAGATTGGCCAATTCGTCCGGCAGTTTTGACAATTGATTATATGAGAGATTGAGATCTGGAATGCAGTTATATTTTCGATTTCGTTATATTTTTCCAATCGATACCAATGACTCTGGCTAATCAATCACCTGTTATTGCGCTGAATTTCAGCGCAAATTTTGGCGTCAGCTTCTTCAGCACATTGCCGCTAAGGTTGCACGTCTGTAGTATTGTATTCCGCATCAGGTGATAAACTGCATCTGGTATTTGCATCAATTCACATTGCGATAGATCTGAAAAACCCAAGATTTCGCATTTTCGCATTTAGCTTGTATTTATTGAAGATGGATTATAATAGATTTTGGCAAAGGTAAACCCCATAATGTATACATATTCTTGAACAGCATATCCAACTGCGTCGATCTATCAATGTTCGTTTGCCCAGTTGTGTAAAATCAGCGATCTGGGATACTTTTATTACTAAGCTAAGGACTTGAAGTTTGAAATACATATGCGAGCTTATCTTTTTTTGGCGATACCTTATCCCAAATACATAAAATCTCTAAAATTTGATCTCCAGACTTGCTGTTTTAAGCATAGCTCGAAAGAATTTGAAAGCTAGCAGCAAATGTTGCATGTAAGCTCTCGTATAGTTTACATAGCTAGTTGTGGAGCTACAACCTGAAGTTTTGCGATTTAAATCCATTTATATGACATATTGATGCACTGAGAACTTCATAATACCAGAAGTTCACTCAGAACTTAAATTGTCCATCGAGAGCCGAGCGTTTCTGTGTATGTGTGTTTTTGTGTAAATATGTGTCCCTAGACAGCTAATGGAAACTCCACGCAAGGTTTAGGGTGTCTCCTAGTCGATCACTTCAGCCAAAACACATTTGTTAGTTGCATACACATACATACATATATATTATATATATTAATTTTTTCGATAAGTTAAATACACAAATACATAAATATATATTAACATTTATATGTGTTAACAAGTCAACTATATATAGATCTATTTATGTAATCGTATACATACATAAAAACATAAGTAAGTGTATATTGTGACATTTGCTTATGTAGGTGCGCAGCTTCATACGTATACATAACTATACATGTACATATATATATATGTATATATATATATATATATATATATACATATGTATGGATATGGGTATTTTCATTCATACAACAGTGTGTATAAGTGCATACATATATATGCACATATCATTGTGAGAACAAAATCCCTTACCTAAATGAGAAGTTTCGGTTGCATTTTCACATCTCTCAATTACTTTAACCACCAAGTGCGCCATTTCCGTACCATATGCCTAAAATGCGCACACAATGCGCTGTCTTTTATCAGCGGGTTTGTTTATAAAAATGTGATGAAGGATATATATAGAAAACTCTAATGAATAGAGTATTTGTATGCACACATGTGCCATCAATAAATAGAAACAGAAATACAGAACCTAACGCACTTCTATCTGGCCCAACACTAAATGTTTGATATTGCCATGTACACTAGCCAAACGACTAATCTAAGAGAGAAAGAGAGCAACAGAGCAAGAGTACACTGTTCACCAAAGAGCGGCAACATAATCAGATAAAATGCACACAATTTTAGATTTCTACATGCTCTTTTTTTTGGCTCTTTTCTGCTCTTGGCATAAGCAGCTTCAGCAAAAACGATGACCTACACACGAATGGATCATCATCATTGTCACTTTTATATGCTGAACGCAATAAAAATAAGTAAAAAAAAAAATGGTATAGTGGCTTGTGCAAATGTATATAATGGAGAGAGGAAAGCATTTCCGACCCCATAGAGTGTATACATGTAGTGTGCCCGTAAGTATGAACGCGTCTATCTTAGAACCTATAAGAACTACTTATAAAGTTGTCGCGTTTTCATATCATCGCCCAAAATCATGTGCGAGGCAGTGGCAAGTAGTTCGTTTGGGGAATGGGGTCGCGAGGTCGATTACAGCAGGTCAAGCTAAACTTGACTTTTAATAATGCGAGTTATACCCTTTATCCATTTAATATGTTGAAAAGGGTTTTTCGGTTTCTTGCTATAGATTGATCAAGCGAGCGCGGAACGCCAGGTGCTTCTGGCTTTGGTAGATGATGTTTCAGGGTATTCCCTAGTCGGGCACTGCCGGTTAGAGCACTCTTGCTATATTTTATTTTTATTAATGCTCCCTTTACCTTCCGAAGAGGTAAAAAAATTGTAAAACTAAGGCGAGAGAGCGCGTATGCTGCTTCTAGTTTTTGGTAGGAAGTGTTTAGAGCACTTTTTCATTTCTGGTTTGCATTCAATTCATTTATCAATTGTTGGTTGTCATATTTTATTGTAAAGAGATGAAATGTTCCAGCTTATACATGTTGGAAATACATACAATAATGCCTTAGTAAAAGCAAGAGTGGTCAAGTCGAAAGTACCCGACTAGAAGATACCCTGGCCTTCTACCAAAACCAGAGGTGGTTCGCGAGTGCCAGAAAAAGCACAATTCGCTCGTGATCCCATGTCTACCCTTTTTCCCATCATGGGCTCAGTGTAAGTATAAACATTGAAATCAATTTCATTATTACTCACTTGCGTTCAATGAGCTTTTGCGTATCTTTAATCTAATCAATTCCGCATTGTGATTATTATCAGAATTTGGGGTCGTTCGGCTATTATGCACATAATATTTCAACAAGTATTCTCCACACTTGCTGGCGCAGGTTTCCAAAACCCCGTCTTAGCCCCAGCTCTAACGGTATAGTCAGTCTGTCAGTTACGACAAAGAGTTTCATTTATTTACAAATAAATACTTAGGAATACCCCGTATATAGACGGGGTATATATGCACACATGTGTTTGTATAAATATATTTATTATATATATATATGAAAATGAGGAGTATATGTAAAATTTTTCAAAGCCAAATGTCAAAGAGTGTCAAAACTTCGGCATGCCGTAGTTGCACTTTCTGTTTTTATTTATTATTAATTTGAGTTATTGAAAAGAAAATTTGTGAGTAACTAAGAAACGTTGCAATGAAATCAAATGAATTTGACGCAATCTCGTTAAAGAGAAAACAGGCGTTTTTATATATCTACGTACATATATAGTTTATTATTGAAACAAAACTCAGTGCGCAATAACTGAAATTGGCTGTGGGCCAATTTGTTTTGTTTTGAAAATACATTTTTACAAATAATAAATGTGTAACAGCTAGAGTTGGGTGTATGTCGTGATTGCTTTCGTGACACGAAAACGCATTACTCAACGCGATGTGACGATACAGCAATTTGAGGGATATAGGATGCAAACCAATCTAAGTCAAATTAATATACTCGAAAGTGTGACCCACAAACAGATCAATCAAAAACAAATCAACCGTGTAAATACGTTACGACACTGCGAAGCCCAAGAAAAAAACATTGAATTTTCCTTAGATCTCCAAGATCTCGAGTCAGCTATACATTCAGTTACACAGTAAAAAGGTCGCTAGAAGAATCAACAATACTTTTTGGGGTAGGTAATGAGTCCGCTTGCCTGTCAAATGCATTTGCATAACTATGAAATACGTCAGTTTACATGTTTTCGAAATTATAGGGTATGTTAATTAAATTAGTGGAGAGAGAAATTTTGTTAAAATTGAACATTTTTATCGAAGCATACATACATATATAGACAATGACAAGGCATAGACCTCGATGTCTTTTTTCCAAGAAAAATTATGAAATAATCAAAACATGTTAATAAATAATGCTCGAATAAGAGATATCCTGAGCACAGCGCCGAGTTGTCAGTACAAAACGAGTATACACATAGATACGTTTATACACAAAAACACACTAATACGCACACGCAAGACGCTTTTTGCGCACTTTATAATGCGGCTGTGCATTTTTCTCAGTTTTTCCCATACAATGAGAAATGCATTTTTGAATAAAATTGGTGTTTATCGACCGTTTCCTATGAAATTTCAGGAGCTAGAATATGACAACCAAATGTCTGTATAAGAAAGCGAAAGGCTTTAATAAGCTCCAATATATGCTCACACTTAGCTGTTTCATACATTTGCACCTAAACATATGTTTTCTATTTTCCATTTGACAGGTCGAGTTGCGTCTTTCGTCTTGCTTTCCGAATTAAGGTGCGTGTCGCGCGTTAAAAGTGTAACTTGCATCATCCCTATTCCGAGCCCCCTTGCATTTTCTTTACAGATGACACAATGCTCTTTTCAAGAACGCGCTCATATATCTTACCTAGCATGTGATTCTCCTTAGCGTCTTCACAGCGTTGCACCACTCGTATAACTCCACGTCCGGCAATTGGCGAGAATGTAACTATGCCGCCAATTCTGGCTATATGTGGAGGTATACGTGGATCCACTTCTGTGTCCAATGCTACTTCATTGCTGGAGGAGTCCGATTCCCCGCTGTCTCTATTGACCGGATTGTTGCCATTGCCATTTGAACGATCCTCACCGTTTCCCCCTCCACTGTTATTGGAGATGTTTGTGATATCATTGCCGAAAGGACGCATGTTTAAGAATTGCTTTCTTTATTGTTATCGTTGTATTTTTACGGTCTATTATCGGCGCAACACAGGAGTACAAAATTGAATATGTAGATAATTTCACGTTATTTAACGTTAGCTCCAAAAAAAAAAAAAAAAAATGTATAGAAAGCAGCGAATAAATTATGTTTTTTTACGCACTCAATAGAATAAATTGAAATCGATTTTTAAATTTTTTGAAATAAAAACGCGAACTTTTCAATAACCAACTGAACGTCACTCTCTTGCGCATTGAAATATTGAAAATGCTTTTTACTTTCGGTTTTTATAGCACGGAAGAATAAAGAAAAACTGCGCATAACAAAACAAATGAAAAATAAAATGGCATGAAAAGCAACAAATAATGAACCAGAAATTGGGACTACTCCCGACAAGAAGTATCTCAAATACTCTTTCTTAGTTACAACTATCGACACTTTATAGCCTGAGTGTCAAAAATCGTTACGGATATATAGGGACACAAGTCAGATTGAAACGGACACGTAGCAGTCATCCCCATTATGAAGATGTTTTAGAAATATAAAGCATTATATAGTAGAAGATATATAGATGCATGAATGTATGAAAAGGAGTCCTTAAAATTGTTGTTGCAATTTATGATTTTTGATATTGACAGTCGAGATTACAATGTTGCCCTGACATGCAATAGGCATAATATAATGAATTAAATGTTCAATTAATGCACGAATCTGAATTTTCGAATGTTTTCGAATTGTATTTAGCTGATCAGTTCCATAAATACTGCCATATCATTAGGACTTATTCACGGAAAGGGTGTTATTGCATACTACGAAATCGTCTTGTCATCGTAAGAGCAATAGCCTCTGTTATAAACAGTCTTTCTCTTGGTCTGCTCTGTTCTGACAACGGAAAAGTGTAAAAGTTCAACACACTGAGAGAGAGCGAAAATTTCAGTGCGAATTTGATGCGTATACGCTCAAAATATACTCTATATACATACATATATGCATATATGTGTGTGTGTGCATACGTTCATATAGATCCGAACTTTGACGCATCTGATAAATTGCGATGTTCGGTTAACGGAACTATTGTAAAAATTTTCCGCACACTTGCTATATACTGATTATATATGCGCATATAAATGTATGTTTATGACTGTGAATTCGTTTAAAAATATTTAAGTTTTTGCGTATTGGTACATAGAAAGTTACTCTTCTGAGATTTTTACTCGCGGAACCCATTAAAAATTGGTAAAAGACATGCCTTGCATGTTTTTATACCCTGAACCCATTAAAAATGGGTATAAGGGTATATTGTATTTGTGCGAAAGCCAAATGTATGTAACAGGCAGAAGGAAGCTTCTCCGACCCCATAAAGTATATATATTCTTGATCAGCATCAATAGCCGAGTCGATCTAGCCATGTCCGTCCGTCCGTCCGTCCGTATGTATGAACGCAAGGATCTCAGAACCTATAAGAGCTAGAGACTTGAAATTTAGATTTAAGATGTAGATGCTCCTAGTTCCCGCGCAGATCGAGTTTGTTTCCGATAATCGGTAACTTACTCCGTTTCCAAGCAATCGATAAAAATCTATATCGATATCCTGTTTTTTGGGAAATTATGGTAAATAATAAGAGCCAAACTTGACATATAGCTTCCAAAATAGAATATTTATATATATATATATATATATATATATTTGATATTGGAAGAACAGGGTTCAGGGTATCCCCTAGTCGGGAGCTCCCGACTAGAACCTCTTACTTGTTTAATATTATGTTCATGCAAATAGCTTCGGTATGCAAAGTAAGTATATTGATTCGACAGCTTGCAAGTGCTAAAGAGTTCAACACAGGCAGAGAAAAATAATATATGTATATTTTTTCAAATTTATATTTAATAATGCTTTATTTAGTAAATATGATTAAGAAAAAACGCGTAAGATGCCACTGAGAGCGCAGCGCGAGCTCCGTCAGGTGTGGATGGATGAAGTATAAGGGTATTCCTTCGTCGTGCACTCTCGACTAGTGCACTTTTACTTTTTTACATGGTACACTTTGGGTGATTCGTATTCTGATGAATGTGAGAAATAGACTGTGGAGCGACTTGTGTAGTATATACTGTATATACTGTTGCCAACATTTTGGCAGAGGGTGTTTACATGTCGTTATCACCCTTACCTGTGATCAAAACTGAATTGTTTGTTGTTTGTTTTGTCCAAATTTTGGTATAACATCCCCGTAGTTGGGGACACTTACCATGCAACATATGTTGTATGCGTTTAATCTTTTTTAAAACGGTAATCAGCTACACGGGTAATGATAAAAATGCAAGCGATATAAAATACTAGATTTTAAAAATAAAATAAAATAATCTCATCATAGAAAAATCTAACCAGCCATATGTAACTCTTTTTGGTGCAAAACAGAATGAATTTGTCGGAGGGACGGGAGCCATTTGACCTTCGCGACGGAGGGTAATATCTTCTATTATCTATATATCTATATATCTATAAAACAGCGGAATTGGAATATATTGTTACTTTGTTAATTGAAGAAGTTGATTGTGGAATGGGTGGGACAGGAAAGCATGCGATTGCACAGATGCGTGTTGAAAATGTTACCGGCTTGACCAAAATTCACGCGAAAATAGTTGCGTCGGAAAATGCTAGTGTAAAATTATTATGTATATTGATATATCATATATGGAAATTGTATTAATTTGACAAATTTTTAAATATACAAATTCATAGGTTTGCCGGAAAAATTGCCTTAAGAATAAGTTATGGCATTCACAAATTAAAAATGCCCATTGATTCACTAACACATTTACAGTCAAATACGTAACAAACTTTATATTTAAAAACGTTCTATTGCATTGCGGAGCCCTGTGCATGTTGTAGACCTGTGCATAGATACAACATGATAATACTCAGGGCTTGAACTCGTTCCTCGGACCTAGCTTTTGTGCAGGCCATTGATTTCCATGGCGACTCCGATTCCATTCGGTGTGTGGTCGCCTTTTCAGTATAATTTAGCATCGTGCTGCCCTTCGATTCCGCATCTAATGCACCCTTCAGTTTTGTTAGCTTCATTAGAAATATAAACATTTTACTACAAATGAGACTACATTGAATTTAAAAGAGACTGACCAGTTCATTTATTTTGGTCACTCGCACGTCGGGGGGGACTTCCGCATAGAGAAGCTTACTGTAACTCTTAGCCAGGCTCATCAGATCCTCGTTTCGGGAATGTTTAATGATTGGTTCAGTGATGAGAGCAACTTGATCCAAAGTTAATGCTGTAAACTCCGTGGGAAGAGCCTCTAAATGGGGCGTAATCATCGCAAAGGGATTTGGATTTGAATGGTGATGTTGCGAGGTTTCTTCTGTTATCGACGACTTTCTAAATCGAATAGGTATGCATTTAATTTCAGCTCGAATAGCCTCTGCAGGTTAACTTACCGCGACGGCGTATGCTGCGGACTCGGCGGTAGACTTTTTGAGTTAGCCTGTGAGCTGTTTCCTGAAAGGGAGGAGACTATGCCTGGTATGTCCAGATTGCTGGCTTGTCGCTTAATTCCCTGTGTCAGTATACCCGTTAGACTAGCTCTATGCACGTCCATATTAGCACTGTGCGTTTGCTCAATGCTGCCTTGCGACGAAGTCTCTTCCGTTGTCATAGAGCTTAAAGACTTGGGCTCCAAAATATCAATATATTCGGCCTGTGTGATTGTAAACTCTGGCTTGTTGACTATTACTGGAGGGGCGAAGAGAGTGTTTGGTATTGACCCAGAGTAGTCGACTGGACCACAAACGGTGGCGCTCTGGCACTTGGCAATACACTTTTTGTGGCAGCACATGGTACAGTCCTTACACTGCATTGCATCCTTTAGCCAGATTTTCTTGCCACAAAAATCACACTGCGTAGCACGGTGAAAATGAGTACGGATAAAGTTATGTGACTTCGATGCAGCCATTGTACTAGCCACACCAGGAACTGAACAATCGCCACAAATGTTTAAAGATTTCAATGACACAGTCTCCCCGCTATTTTCATTCTGTACTTTATCATTTGCAGCTGATTGGCTAAAATATGTACAATACACATATTACGTAATGCAGCTTATGTACAATTTATAAAAATATACCTGGCTGGAGACTGCGACTTGGTAGTACTCTTGACTGTGCTCTCACTCGCAGTAGCATTTGGATTTCCATTCCATAAAAATCCAAACAAAATATCTCCGAAGCACAGGTTGGGATTGAACCCAGATTGAGTGGACAATGGATGTGCTTTTCTGTGGATCCAATCAAAATTATAAGAAAGGTATAGCCCCTTGAGAATTTCTTGAACTTACACTGGCAAAAGAGTTGGCGGATTTAAAGCTATCTGCTTTAGGGATTGATTCAGGCTGGTCTCGCTGCATTCGACTAATATCTGACCGACCTGTAAGTTGTAATACCCCAACAGTATGCTCTCACCTGCGCACTTCCCAAACACACATACATTTAGAAAGCGACTCTTAGCATCCAGCTGAAAATTGCACATATCATCCATGCGTATAAGTGGGCTGAAGGTGCAATCGATAGTCGAGTGTTGATAGAAATAGTTGACTTCATCGAGTGGCTTGTCGCCCATACTAGCTACCTTATCTTCATTCGGGCAGGGCATTTTTGAGGGAGTGTCGTCCAATTTGGATTTGTCTTTGTCCTTTGGACTGTCACCGCTTTCACGACTGATGGTCTTCTTGATAGCTTTTGCAATTATATTTGATTTTTTTGGGGAGTTCGTTAAAGTAGCACTCAGACTAGACTCGGTGTTGCGACCATGACCAGCCTTCACTAGTAAATGCTTGGGAATCATCTCGGTGTCGTCAGCGTCATGTTTAAGAGCTACAGGAATGTCGCACAAATCGTCATATTTCTCTAGATCCTCCAGAATGGCATAGTTACGTATGATTCCGGGAATGATACGCTCGATGCGCAGGTAGCAGACTGTGGACTGTAGGTTCTTCACAACCTTCGCAATTTGTTGAATAGTTGTTACCTGTTTGCCCTCAATAGAAACAAGTGCATCACCAGACAACAGATTAGCCTTGCAGGCTGGCGTGTTCGGCAGAATAGACTCGATCTTCACCACCTGACTGCTACTTTGTTTAAACACAATACCTATCTGTTGATTCTTGGCCTTGTGTATAACCACATCCATGGAGATTAGCACGTGTCGGTTATCTTTCTGATGTGCCTCAATGAAAGGTACTGGCGCCAGCGTTATAGTACAGTATATGCTGCTGGTTCCCGGCCAGGCCATCAGCCGTGACAACTCCGCCACACGTACGGTAAGATCGCCATTGGGCTGTATGTCACAGTCACTTGTCTCTTCATCCGCCGCCCAATGGAAGAAGGGTTTGTAACGCAGCTTATAGTTGGGTAGGGTATGTTTGCGGCGCACTGCTTTGCGTATTTGATTTGATATAAGATTCGTTATGTTAGATTGCATTTGGCGCCCTTGGTACTTTGACTCGATAACTAAGTTAAGTTCCGGGTCACCTAAGAAGCTGAGGGACCAGTGAGTGTATGGCTTCCGAGTAAACTGTAGCCGTGCCATGCCAGACAGTTGTGTTACTAATAATGAAAATCAAATTAATCAAATTCACATTCATAAACTCAGTAACTCCTGCTTGTATACCATTACCTTTTAGCATTATGGAACCCTTTTTGCCCAGTACCATATCCGCATCAATTGATGTCGAGAAGTTTCCGATATAGTTAATATCCAGTAACAAGTCTAAGTTCTCAATGCGCTGCTCGTCGTCGTCAAGTTGGACGTTATGCACCGAAAGCGATCTGATGTTTGGAAACTGGTCTCCCAGCTCAAGTTCCCTAATCTGGAAAAGAATTTCATTAGAATTGCATATTATGTAATGACTTAAGCTTATTGACTGCACCGTTAGCTTGTCCAACAATTTGCCTGTCGTGGTTTTTGTAATCAGTTCATCCAGTTCAATGGAGAGCTTTCGATAAAACCATTTTCGCACACGATTCGAGTTTTTAAACTCATGGAACAAGAACTGCATAACAAAATTTAATGATATTAAAGTCGACGAGCCTTGATCGCCTTTCTGATGTATCTCGAAGTTTCCACCTTCGTTTTGTGCCGTATTCAGATTACGGGCGGTTTGTTTAATGTTCTAAAAAGGAAACAATGTTTAGCTGTTATTTCCGCATACATACATACATTATGGAAACACGATTCACAATCAACTTACCAGGGGTAAGGTGTATCTGGCATTAACCTTTTTTTGTTCCTCGCTCTCATCCGGTAAATTTGAAAACTTTATAAAAAGCAAATACTGAAGCAATATCATAATTACTCCGCCGATTAGCAGAAATATTAAACAGAGCAACAACACATTAGAAAAGGGTATCTCCATATTGTGACTATCGTAATTTACGTCTGTTTGTTAAGTTACAGGAAACTTTCTGCCGAGTAAATATTTTTTTCCAGCTTAAGTGCGTGTATCAAATGAACTTGCAGTCTTTTTAAGTACGACTAGATATCTGCATGTACATATCAGATTTACGACTACATCAGACATCGTCAATGTGTTGACCTTTTGACAATATAAGTTGAAATGCTAGCTAACCACTTCGTCCATTTGAATATTGACGTTTTTCACTTTGATATTGATATGTTTTTGTCAAATTCTTGTCCCACAATAAAGTGAATCTCGATGGTTTCTTAGTGTAATACTGAATGCGCTTATATAAAATCAATACTCTTACTTCCTACCGCGCATGACAGTTAGTCAGCTGGTTTTTATATTGTTATGAAGATTCTAAGCCAAAGCTACCATATTCCAAATACTTCGTCACAATCCTCACAGCTGATGAGACTTGCTGGGATGCAAACATCTTACTAAAATGTGCGAGGGCATTGTCGTAATGACACGTAGTATTTCATTTATACATATATAATGTACGGCGTAACATAGTAATAGAACCAAGGCCTTCGCACTTATTAATAAAAGATTGTAAAATAGTCACGCAAAGCACGAGGAAATGTATGAAAAAGATATTTAGGCAAAATATTTAAAAAGATTTAGAAAAATTGTATTTAACGGGCTTAAAAGTGCTTTTTAAACTAATATGTAAAAATATTAAGAATTTCAATACAAGCAATTTGTTTTTTTTTTTTTTTTGCATCCAATCATGATACGATTTTCTTACCTATATTACAAATTTTGCTCTTGTGAATTTCAAAAGCTTAAAGGCATAAAAAATCATTGATTCCTTATCGATTTCAGGGAACGTAGGAGAAATAAAAATAGTTTATTACGGTCAATATGGGCGTGCTACACGGCTTAACGTAAGGACAATTGGTTAACCTAGATATTTCATGCTGCCAACAGGAAAGAAGATGGAGGTAAAATGAGTCGAAGGGCGTGATTGCGGCAAGTCAGTCAGAATTCAATAGAGATACATTTTGAAAATAAAATGTACAGATCGAAAAAGCGTGATGATTTGGAAGGTATATCTCCGCGCGGAGTTATGTCGTTTTGGAACGTCGTATCTCCGCGCGGAGTTATGTCGTTTTAGAACGTCATATCTCCGCGCGGAGCTTTGTCGCTTTGGAACGTCATATCTCCGCGGGGAGTTATGTCGTTTTGGAACGTCATATCTTCGCGCGGAGCTATTACCCGAGAGATATTACCCGGGGTAGGTTCAAATATCAAAACTTTTTTGAATATTTTTTTGGAAAATCTCGGGTAAATATAATCTGATTTTAAAATATTTTACTTTTTTGAATTCGTACGGATCCCTACTATCATATGGCATTCAAAGAAATTAAAAATTGATGGGTTGGAAAAAGTTGTTGACCAAAAAACGTTTCGTTGGTATAATCAATCGTTTTTGTTGATTTTTTTAGACTATCTCGGCCAAGTAACCTCAGAGTCGAAGCATTCGCCAACCAATACAAGAGACCTCTCTGAGAGGTGTGTAGTCAAAAGGCTCAAGAAGAGATACTTTTGAGACCTCCTCTAACCACGACACAGGAGCAGCCCCAGAGCCCACCGACTACCTACGTGACGGTGCAGCCTTTCTCAAAGAAGACGGCTTTGACGTTTGTCCACGATAAAGCCTGAGGAGCCAACCAGGATTGGCGAGATACCACCTAAGTTAACGGTTTTGTAATAAAAATGTATGCTATTTTTTGATTCAATACAATAAACATATATAAGTTAAAAAAACAAACTTTTTTGACGAATTTTTTTTGAACTCTCCGGTAAATATATCCTGTTTTTGAAATGTTATACCTTTTTGAATTCGTACGAATCCCTACTATCATACGGCATTCAAACAAGTTAAAAATTGATGGGTTGAAATGAGTTGTTGACCAAAAAACGTTTCGTTTGTAAAATCAAAGTTTTGAAACGTCATATCTCCGCGCGGAGTTATGTCGTTTTGGAACGTCATATTTCCCCGCGGAGTTATGTCGTTTTGGAACATCATATCTCCGCGCGGAGTTATGTCGTTTTTGAACGTCGTATCTCCAAGTGGAGTTATGTCGTTTTGGAACGTCATATCTCCAAGTGGAGTTATGTCGTTTTGGAGCGAAACGTTTTTTGGTCAACAACTAGTCTCTAGCTCTTATAGGTTCTGATATCCTTGCGTTCATACATTCTTACGGACGGACAGACAAACGGACATGGCTAGATCGACTCGGCTATTGATGCTGATCAAGAATATATATACTTTATGGGGTCGGAGAAGCTTCCTTCTGCCTGTTACATACATTTGGTTTTCGCACAAATACAATATACCCTTATACCCATTTTTAATGGATTCAGGGTATAAAAATCAAAATATTGTGTGGTGAATATTAAAAATTGACTAATGAAGGAGGGCATATGGCCCACTTATAACTCACATAACAAAAATAAAATGTAATGCCTAAAGCGTAGGCTCCAGCAAGATACAATTTGTAGCAGTTTCTTCGAAGGTGCAACCGCAGCTAATAATAAGTGGAATTGGGCTTAGTGACAACAACTTGTTCATATATTACTGACTTTAGCAATGTTCTTTGCTATTCTTAAGATCATATCAGCTACTTGCTGTAGCTCTAAAACGAACTCCAAAATGGACCCCGTACGAACGGCCATACAGGTAAGAGTAAGAGATTGCTCAAAACCTTTAGACAAGAGGAATGAAGCGCAACATTGGGGCCCATAATGAGAAAATGTTGCGTTTATTGTAAGTTAGTAATTTTCTGGTATTCATTTAGTTTAGTTTTTTTTTTATTATGTAATTCCTTTACTTTGTGTAAAATAAGAAAGTATTAATAGGTTTTATTAACAAATTTGTTGAAGGCAGGTATTTATGTTATATGTTTGTGTATATCTTGTATATAAATTACAAGTCATTTTCATAATTAATAATTATTAAATTTACTTCAGTTATCATTTACTCTAGCTTTTCTTAATATTATATTTAATATTTAAACTGCATTATTACTTAGTGTACTCAGTTAAGATAATTTATCTATGTAGGTATATATTATAATGAATTTTTTTTTTACCATTTTACATTAATATCTCTCTTTTCTTTAGCTTATGTTGCTTTCATTTGGTTGCACTTTGCTTGTAAAAAATTAGGAGCTGATAAGAATTAGATTTCTCATGTGACTTCCAATCCAGACTGTTAATAAACCACCCAAATTTACAATCATAATAAAAATAACCGCTTCATAACATCTTAATACATCGAACCCATCGATGAGCCATCAGATGAGCAACAACACTTGAAAACAAGAGTGCTCTAGTCGAAAGTATCCTTGTACCCACCGTCGAGCTGCCGTAATATGCGTCCGAATATCCTTTCTTACCCACAAACGTAAATCATAGATACACTCACACACAAACACTTACACTCACACACAAGCACTTACACTCGCACACAAGCACATACAAGCATATACGCTGTAGGCTGCATGCTTTATGCAGCGATTGTGTTTCTTCTTCTTCCAAAAGCTCCATACGAGGCACAATTATTGAGGGAAAGGGAAATATTCTTAATCTGTGTATACTACACGAGGACATACCAAATTTGTAGTCTCTACCTTATATAATTTCCGAGATATGGAATTGGGAGGAGATACAAAATAAACAGATAAACTCGCTTTGCATTAAATATACAATGAAATACTTCGAAATGGATTTATACAAAGGGATAGACTCACAGACAGACGAACATGGATAAATCAATAAAATGGTTCTTTCATCCCAAAAAAAAAAATCTAAGATAATATGAATATTTATTTTTATATACCAGACTACTAGATCGGCTAACATCGCTTTCCTGATAAGGAAATCGGTGAAGAAGCTGCCCACTACCTATTACATACACTTGCACAAAACTATATAATCATTTTCAATGGGTACAGTAATTGGAAAATTCATATTCTGTATAATGTATACAATTAGATTGACTATTAATACAAAACGTTAAATATGTACTGGAACTTGGAAGAACAAACCGAACACAAGGATGTCAAATATGCATGTTAAGATATTTAAGTACTAATTGGTTTTTCGCATGACAAGAAGGGGCATGGACGTTGCTCTTATGGTGGGCAACCAACTACAAGATGAACGAATCGGAGACCTTAAAAGCGACTCTTAAATACTTAAGAAATTTCTATTGAGATCTGGATTGACAAAGCCTTGCTTATGAGATATTGTTGTCGAAGTTTATCCCAACAATAGGCGTCTCTCATACACTTATAAAAGAGTTCACAGCTGGCAAATAAGCGGCTAAAAAAAAAGTTTACAAGCTAGGCCAATAGTAAATTACTTAAAACATAAGAAAAAGGTCCAGGGACAAAACAAATTTCAACTTTTTTTACAATTTCTTTTATAGTTATTAATTTTGTACTTAATAGGTCGATTTTATATTTTTATTTCTTTATTTTTTCTTTTTTTTTTGGCAATTAGGTGACTGCAAATATTCGCAGGTTGATTTAATTGTACTAATGTTATTATAAAGCCGTTAGCGAGCGAACTGTGAATTCGGATGTCCATGTACATACATACAAACATACATTGTAGATACTAAGGTGTGAATATTAAATCACGGATCGACGTTATACATATTCAACTTATAAAGAAAAAAATAAATAATAAATAATAACTTTGAGAGGTGTGTTGTGTTTTAATAGTAGTTGAATATTAAAGGCACACATTATATGCCATTTATTACTTTTCTAACATAAAATTTTGTTTTTAGTAAATTTGGGTTCACTTAGCTTTGACTCTTAAGACTTGTTAAACACGATTGTATATGTCATGTATACATTCATGTGCGTAGATAATATATTTACATCAGTATGTATGTATATATGCACATTTGACATGCACTTAGCTGCGTTGAGTTTAAAAGATTGATGTAACTATCGAATATTGTGTTTGATAATGTAAAAGTAGTATTCAACTAGCCTAAATACAAACTATATAAATATGTATCGTATGTACTATTTAAAGTCAATCCTTTAGTTGGTGTTTGCTTTCATACGCTTGATACTTTATATATTGCGTAAATTCGCATTAATGCTCAGCGGTTTTAATTTTAACTTAAATTATGGATTCATTTTTATTTAAATTACAATATTTGTGCGCTCTTCAATATTCCCTCGTTCAACATCTACATATTCACAGATTTAACTATCTAAACGCTTACTGGTTTTGATTTGGAATGTCAATAGTGTTTATATATGTAAATGTGATCTACATGCGTTTTACATCTTTCACCAGGCTGCTTCTTTATCTGTTGCTATGGTTATCTTAGGGAAAATCTATTGTCAGACTCGCTCAAAAATGTATCTATGTATGTATGTCATGGCTGTCTATGTGGTTCAATACTTAAATACTTATATACCTATCCATGCATATCGTTTATGTGTGTATGTAAGTATACGGCTGCATGTACATATATGCAATGTTACAAAGCAACAATTGGATTAGATCAAGCTTAAATATGAGGCCTTATAACAGAAATCAATCACGGAAACATACGGGAAACCCTCTACCAAATTTGAACAGATATAGAAAATTTTGTATATCCTACGCCAACAGAATAACAAATATACATACATATGTACAATAGCATACATACATAAATATGAGAGTGCAATTTTTGTATGCAATAAAGGAAGACAACAAAAATGCATTAACATAATAATTTTCGACCAGCAACATAATTATAAATACCTATGCACATGGAACTGAAAATAGCTAAATTTTAGTATACTTTAATACCAATGGATCTTAAGACACTTACATGCACGCAAGAATTGAAACTCCATCAAAATCACGCACATACATACACACACACAAACACACGCACATACACACATACATACACATACATACTTATCAATGCTTAAAACATAGTATGTACTTAAAACAGTATTTCTCGCATGCATTTTTTTTTTAAATATCCGCACTAATGTACACAATTCATCCGTATGGGCTCGAAATGAGTTCTATTTCTGCTAGCATAATCGTAGTCGTAGATAAATACATTACATAAAAAATTTGATATCTACAATAATATTTGATAATATGCACAATCGTATAATAATAAAGATAGTACTGCATTTAAATGTACATAATTGAATTATTAGCTTTAAATATAAACAAGACAAAAACGCTTGCAAATGGGTTACAGATTTATCGAGTTATGCATGTAAATATGTATTAAATAACTTACAATGTATGCGTGTACCTACATATATATATATATATATAGATACTAGCTATTTAGAACTATGTATGGCTACACATATTCGAAATATTTTTAGGCCTTACATACAATGCGTTTCACATATTTTATGACAGAGTCTAATCAATATTTTTTTTTTAAGTTCTTGTTTCGGGGTCTTATTTTTAAGCGGGTTCGGAATTTAAAGTGTATGATACGAATGTTGCTGGTCTTCTGGTGTAAGTTTCTCATAATCTTGAATAGAGCTATGTTGGCAATAATTAGGCGCGATAAAATCGGCAGATAACGCAAATCTATCATTTAAAGTGGCGGTATTATAATTTATATCGTTATCTGAATAAACCTTTTGAATAGGGACTGATGTTGTTTGATTACTTGGTGTCATTGGTATTGCATTTGTTGCTTTGCTTAATTTTCTGCTTACTAGTATATCCGATAGGGGCGATGTTGTTCTTGTTTCTGGCAATGACAGTACTATGCGGACTGGTATTGCTGACGGTGAGGCATCGCAATGCGAATACTCGTAGCTTGTGTCTGGCTGTCCTGTTAAGAATTGTTGCGATTGCGGCTGTCGATTTGGGTTTAAAGCATATGCTTGTGAGCTGCCTTGAGCTAATTGAATATCGAATGCTGTTGCTCTTGCTTCTAATGTTGTTGTGGTGGTAGTATATTGATTTATTTTGTTTCGTATCGTATCAAAATTGTGATCTAAGTTTGGTGCTGATAACGATGACCATTTGGCCTGATGCTATACCCAGATCTGATCCTTTGGATTACGCGATCGCAATCAAAGCCTTTGCTAGCACCAATCCTCCTCATCCGAATCGGAGTGTCGAGTATTAAGTCCGCTCTTTGGCTTAAATCCATTAAGAACTGGAGATGGCAGTACACGACCCGTTCGGCCCATAGCCAACGCTTGTTCAAATGACAACGGTGCTATATATTCCAGTCTGCGAGAAATATTCATTTTATTTCAAATATGTTTTCAAAATAACATAATATTACCTTTCTCTTTCCACTTCCCGCTCACGTTCCCGTTCACGTTCGTACAACTCACGTTCCCGGTCTCGATACTCATAACGCAGGTCATACTCGTGCAATCGATCTCGATCTCTAAAGCGGTCGCGATCACGATCACGTTCTCTACTACTATAATACACTTCTCTTGGATCCCGCAGTAGGTCGCGGTGATGTGGCAGCGAGTGAACACTGTGGGGTGTTGAGTGGTGTGTCTAAAAGTATTTGAAGTTTTAAATGCATTAATGTAAATCTAGATATATTCAACAGGCTGATTGATGGGGATTAACGCAGAGTCTAAGCCGTAGCAGCTAGAAAGCTGCACCTTTCAACCGATCGGATTTAATTTAATTTTTTAAAGCAATCGATTCGTATTTTACTAATTTTAAAAATTCAGCACCACTCGCGGAAAATAGATGGAGCTGGAAGGTTAATTTGTTGGTCTTTGGGCTATTTAATTAAATATTTTTCCATCCGGTTGACTTTTTACCGAGTTCAAAGACTTCCGCATTCGAAATGGATCAATAAACTCCTGACAAACCCCGGCAATAAATGCTAGGAATACACATTTGCGCTACCATAAGTGATTTTACGTACGTGGGTTGGACTCGCATTCAGCTTTGGAAAATTAATGTTGGTTGGCTTAAGCTGAAGGGTCGACGGTTTGCTTGGAGTCGGTGGTAGGCGTCGTCCAATGCCAGCACGACGAGAGGCCAACGTTGGGTAGCTGTGCTGTACATGCGGGCCACCTATTGTAAACATTGGACACAAAATCAGTAAGGCTTGTGTAGCTCATCAGTAATTTTCTAAACAAGTTAACGGTTTGAAGTTATGAGATAAGCATAAGGACAATATTCGGAAACCATACATATATAGAATGCAATTTTTTGTTGTGCGTTCAGTTTTTATATAAGGCATACAACTTTTAAGTAATATTCGAACTTAATATAACATATTACTCCTTTTGCAAATATTGCATTGACACTATGAAAACTGAACATTGCTTATATAATAATACAATATATATATATATATATATACATATATATATATATATATATATATACATATATATATATATATATGTATATATATATATGTATATATATATATATATACATATATATATATATATAGATGTACAGTTAATAACAAAAGATCCAATTATTATTTTGGCATCAAGGTGCACAGTTACATAGATGATTCATTGTAAAACGTAATTAATTGTGGTAGCATGCATGACTGTGAGCTATACATACAAGTTTAATGAGTATATAGTTTATTCCAAATGGTATAGAGACAGAAAGAATGAAACTAGAAAAAACGTAACAGTGCAAAATATGAAAGATATACATATAACAACTTTGGTTATACACCCAACCGATTTCAGAATGATAACCATAAGCCCATTTAGTTAACTTTTTTTGCGTCTGCAAATGGAAATAACGAAAATAAAAATCTACCCACAGCTTTAATTCGAAATGAGGGCAATGATAATATGATAATGAGGAATAGAGTCCCATATAGCTGGCGCCCAAAAATTGTTGGACTATTTGATTTAGTTTTTGCATTGACAGGTGTTCATCGATGTAAAATTATCATAAAGGAGAAGCACATAGATTCTTGGTCAGTAATTTGGGCATACAATGAATTTTAGGTATATATATAATTGACTAAAAGTGCGTATATAACGAGCACTGCCCTGATACATAATATTTATGCACGAGTCAAAGAGTACCACACAATTATAGAAGACTATGTGTTTGTTTAAAAACCGTCATCAAGTTCACTCTTACTAAAAATGTTAAGTTAATTCTGAAAATTTGTTTGTTCATGCAGTCTTAGATAGGTCCCTAATTTAGCCCCTTTTTCGACTGATATGCGAAAAAATTTGTAAATTATAGTCTTAAAGTTGTGCTGTATGCATATAATATCTTACAACCGTTTAGTGAAAGTTTTTGTTGCCAAATTCTTTCCGTGTAGTTTTGATGAGGATGAATGTTTGTACATAGTATATTTAGGTAAGTGTATGGGCACTAGAGATATGAAATGAACGCTGCTAATAAGAATGTTTGAGTACGAGTACAAGTACATACATACATACATAAGTATTGTTCAATGTGAAACGCTAACAAAACTGAGAACTGTGTAGTTATGATTTGTAAGTAGAATAGAAAACTATTTGATAATTGAAAGCTTATAATGGAACGTCTCATGGCATGACAATACATGTACATGTTAAGCATTTTAGCAGCTGTGTACGAGTAAGCATGTCTGATATTTATATCTGATGTTTGTAAAAGTAGAAATGTTTGAAGAAATTTGTGTAGAAGAAAGTACTAGCATATATAGAAAACATGTTTTTGGTTTTGATTTTCATATTGATTTTGATTGTTATAGTGTTTTTGATTTTGATATTGATTGAATTGTCAGCTTTAGTTAACATGTGCTAAAGATGTACCCATATCAATCCCATAACCAAGTCTGTCTCGTTCACGCATCTCCTGAAGTCGAGCGGGACTCGGCGATCGTGATCTTTGACATAAACTTGTTGTCCCATATGTGGGATAAGGCAGTTGAGTGCGTTTACTGCGAGACAAATGACCACCATAACGAGAAGGCGAGGGCGAACGGGCCGGACTTGTCGATGCTGACCATGAACCTATATTGTACATATAACAACAATAACAAAGAAAAACAACAATAATTAAGGATGTCGGGGCACAACAGTTTACGTATTGTAAGATTCTTGTTAAAATCGCTATAATTTGCATTTTTTTTAAATATTTAAATTTCATTTTTTCTTTTTGGAATAACAAAGGAAAATAATTATACGAAAATATAAAAATTATAAAATTAAATTGAAACGTATAATGAATAAAAGACATCTTTAAATGCTAATAAACTGTAGACATATAATCATAAATGTATTGTATGTAACTAGGATACTACAACATTGTTAGATAAAACTTCGGTCGCACCGAATTGTAATGTATGCACTTTATATATAACATTAGCGTTTGTAGAATGCCATTGATTTTATTCATAATTTGTTCATAAATATTTGACATTTTCTATTCACTTGACGCGATATTTTACATGCGAAAGCTTCTTATTTCGCAGCTTCTTGGAAAATAGTATTTTTTGTTGTCATTTGAAAACACAGTGAAGGCGTTTAGTTTTAGATAAATTTTCGGTAACTACATGAAAATGTATTCAAGTACTTATGTGTTGCCCGTTATATCAATACATGTATGAATTTTCTATGCAATGAATTATATTTCATTAATATCATCATTTAACAATAATTTGATTGTTGCAACTAAATGTTGCGAATTTGTCCTCCACTTACATATGTGGAAGAGGAGCAAGAACGAAATATACTTAGATACATGAGTGTAAGACGACGATTTGTCTCCGATATAAGTTGTAATATCCACACATTGTATTGGCCAATAATGTTTGTTAAGGTTTTATCTTATGCTTTTTGGCAATGTGCAATGTGACAATGGCTCATTCGACACTATTCTTTATATATTGTCCCAAAATGTTGCTTTCAGCCTGTATTTAACTCTGGTGCGTTCTCTTTCTCTTCGTTTTCAACTATTTCACACGAAATATCGTTTCGCATGGTGATTTCATGCGTCAGCGCGTAATAAGACAATAACAGTCTGATTAAGTTCAATACGTTGCCATGTTTTGCGTGAGGTGCCTACCAAATTTGAAGAGGCCCTGCGTTAAAATTTCACAGGTGGTTTTTTTTTTCGCATTTCGCGTCAAGTGGATATAGGCCTAATAAATAAATTGTAATTTTACAAAAAATATTCAAGCCATTATTAAACGCATTTCTAAGCTTGGCTGACATTTTTCTGTAGTGGGAACAAGAATAATGTAATGGAGCGTTAAGAAAAAATAAAAAATTTTTAGCGGCCAGGTCACATAAATTTTAAAGTGCATCAAATACATACATTATAGTACATACATAGAAATACAAAAGCAATAGTTTTGGATAAATACCTCTTGGATACCGTTGATGACTATTGCTATGCCTAGGATGTCGAGTCTCCTTGACCATCTCTACAACATTAGATACGGTATCGGAGAACCCGATATCATGATGTATGTATTGATGGCCGCGTCGTCTAGGACTTGGCGATCTGGCCAAAGGAGAACCGTTGTGTCTGTGACGGAACAAGATGCAATTGTTAAGTAAACAGGTAGTATGGACATTGGGCTTTTGGTTATATTAGTCATTAGAAGCAAAGTTAAATTTTTTGTTACCAATTCGTATAAAACCGATATTTTTGATACACAATCAGGTAGAGATTGATTAATATTGGAAATTTTAAAGACAAGCGTATTAAAATATTACCTCAAGCTAGGCGAATGCCGATGGCCATTTATATACGAATGTCCAGGATGTAAATGGCCAGCATCGGGACCAGTCAGCGATTCTTGTGATGGATGTCTCGACGAATCTTGTAGATCCAGCATCTAGTCAAGAGAGTTAGATACTCAAGTTAGTGTTTTAATAGAATAAAATGAATGATATCATTTGTAATCAGCCGCAGCATGTTTACTTGAGCTGTCAAACAATTAACTAAGAACTGTTCATATTTGAATACTCTATATAGCCTACAGGCATCAAAATGTGATTAAAGCTTTTTGTGTTTCGCAAGCTGACGGCTTTCAAATGAATTCATTCTTTTTTTTTTTTAAGTTTAGTTGGTTTACAATAAAAGCTACAAATGTTACCAATGCTCCATATTGGAGCGCAGGGAATATATACGTATAAACAAAAGCAACAAAAGAAATATAAATACATATATATATAGATATATATATATGTAAATATATATTTTTTTGCGTAGGTATTTAAAGGGGATATACATATATAATATGTAAATTAAAAAACAATTATTACTTCACTGCAACAAAATACATATCCAAATGCGGTTTTAATTGCACTAGGTTGAAGTATCGAAAGGTTCTTAAATGCAGGATAACCTAGTTTAGGGCGTGTAACATTTAAACAATTTCATACACTACTTAAAGTATACATGTATGTTTATTTACTTGAACACTTTAAAATTAATTTAGATTTTCGGTATTGGGTTGTATTTTATGTACTAGTTACGTATTATATTTTTTCTATCTCATTGAAGTTTTCTTTTTTTTAATTTGATTCTTGATATCAGTATGCGATTTTCTCATTTGTGTTACTTATTTCCTTCTTTTTTTGATGTGCCAATCATTAAAGACCCAGATTAATCTACATAATTGCAGTTAAATGTTGTCCTATATTTATGTAAAATCAAGTGACATATTGGCCAAATGAATCAAATATAATAATAAAAAAGATACCAAATTTAAAGTCAATGTTATACAAACAGACAAATGATGCTATATTACAACTCTATGCACATTGTAACTACACTAAAAACTAATAAATACATATACATATGTGTTCATCTATACTTGTCTAAAATGAGTAAATATGGCTGTAATTCAATGCAGAAGAAGCAAGCAATCAAGTGTACAAAAAAAGTAAAAAATGAGCGTGTGAATATTTATATTTACAGCTAAGAAACATCTTCATCTACTAATTATACATAAAAGTATACATATATATATATATATATATTTATATATATATATATGTTTTTACATGCATGCATTCTCCTGTTAGTCGTAGTTTAATAAGCTATTTATGAGCACTTTTATATATTGACAATTATTTTTTTTTGTATCTGATTGCAAGTGCTGGTGGATGTGCACCTAAGTGACCTGTCCAAATGTCCATGATCAAGTGTCGAAGCTGATTTACTTACCACATGTTGACTATATTACTATGGACTTTAAAAAAATAAGGAATTTAAGCTATTTACATAAATTGTTCTGGCTTCTGATACCGAGGCGGTACATCTCACTGACGAACTTTATAAGAACAGGCTAAATTGACACGGTAACGAAAATAAACAGTAGGGAAGCACCAGAGCTTTTACATTTTTTAAATTTGAAACTACTTTTGTATATAATGGTCCTAGTTGCCATATTGTGAAGAAAACTTGTTACTTTGAGACACAAAGCTAATTAACAATGCTTCGGTTTTAAAATGTCCTAAGCACATTTCTATATTAAAACTAAAGCTGTAAATTTTAGGTTCGTTTACTAAGCTTCAGTTTGATCAGAGTTCGCATAGGTAGCTCGTTGGCGCAGGCTTCAGAGCTGCCGTAAAAGATGCAATTTCAACAATTTGCTAATTTTGTTAGTTTAATGTCGGTTTACAGCTCCCCTGGCTCCATTGCGCTGTCAAAGCAATGCTTTGCGAAACTCTGTTATCAACTTGCAACATTTGCCGAAGGAATGCTTACGTACATAGTACAAGTACTTATACATACAGATCAACGATCAAATTACAACACTGATTATGAGTACTAAGCGAAGATTTGCTTCTCTAACTGATCAATAAATGGCTATGCAACATTTATGTATGTATGTATGTAAGTTACTATTGAGTAAGCGCAAATTGCTTAACATAAAATACACAGCAGGGATGTACATTTATTTCTATTTGTACATATATACTTATATTGTTACATACATACATAAATGTATATGTAGATGAGTGAGCGTATATTCAAAGATACTAGTGTTTTACTTCGACTTAAGTAGATGGTTTTTGAACAACATTTATATCGGAAACGGATTATGGACACAAAGAGTATTCACATATATTCATATAATACACAATTATTTATTCTTGTTTAAATTTTTAGAATTTTTGATAATTTCTTTTTGGTTTACCGCTTGGAGTTTATCAAACTTATTCACCTTTTTGTTTCTGAAATTATTTAAAAATTAGAAAAAAACAATTTACTTTTGTAAATGTACAAAGCACAAAATTGTAAATGTTGTGTTGTTTTGTGAATTTACAAATTGATATTTGCAGACCTATACATATTATTTTGCGAATTCATATATGTATGCATAAATTATTTATGTATGTATGCCTGTGCTATGTATGAAAAGAGTGTTAATGGGTATGCATATGATATTGAACTGGATGCGATTCTTGAATATGTCACATGAAAATTTGGAAGAATGGGCTTTGACTCGGAGATACATTTTTCTGGTCGAAGTACCCTAAAAGTGTTAGTACTTACTTAATCACATTTAAGCATTTCTAAGCGCTCGTCTTTTAAATAAAAATAAAAATAAAACTCCAAAAGCACTCATGGGCTATTTTCTGTTTTGTTTGAATATACAGACAAATATAGATCGGTTTATTCGGAATCTAGTAATTCGCAAAATGATGTATTAATACAGTTGAAACTCGATTATCCGTGCGGCTTAAGGCACAGCTCTTTACCCATAAGCGCATAATCTGTACTTAAAGAGGTTTTACAAGAAAAAAGCTATTTTCTTATATTTTTTATGAGAGTGACGCTAATCGAGGTTTAACTGTGGATTTAAATAAAAGTAAGTAAAGTATTAAAAGTACAGTGGGTATAATATACAAGAAGGTATATTAAGATTTTCTTATCTCCAGCTTTTATAGTATCTGAGATCGATGCGTTCATGCAGACGTACGGTCGCCTCGTCGTCCTGATTAAGTATAAACATACAAAGATTGTCAAAGAATATGTCATAACAAGGCAAAATCACCAATAGTCTTTGGAGACAGATATGACTTGTGACACACCAAGTCGACTCTTAGGAAGCAAACGCTATGTGGCAAACACCACCTCCCCCGCCGGGGAGGTCCACGTGATACCACCTGAAAACGAACGATGTACGGCTAATCAGAATGGGTCACAGGTCTAAAGTCATTAGGATTCAATGTATTATATGCAAGCTCGTCAGATAGGGCTAGAGCAAGTATCATATATAAAAAAAAGACACATTAATGCAATTTTCTGTTTACACAGCCAACTTCTCTTATACTGGGCTGCGATTCCAATTCCCACACCTTGTGGGAAAGCAATGAAGAAAATTAAAAGGGGTTAGACACATTTAGAATGCATCACAAATAAAAACATTCCAATATGTAATAGGGGCAACACCCAAGCCTTTCTTGTCCCCAGCTCGGCAGAATACCAAAGTTAGGAAGAGGAGGAATATCGTGGGTAAGCAAGGTTAACATAAGGTAGGAAACTACAGGGCATCAACCTACCATCCCTTTCTGACCAAGCTTTTGGCATCTACCTGTAATCCGTAAAATGGAAAAAATACTACGATATTGTCCTCATTGTCCACTCCCATGCTCAAAAGAAATTGAGCATAAGTATGCTCAACGTGCTAAACGTAAATTAAACGTAACCACCACAGTGGAACAGTGAACTCTCTCATCTCACAAAGGAGACAAGAAAATCATCCATGATCCATCTTCCAAAGACTGGAGGCCATACAAAGATGCATTAAGACAGTAAACAGAAGAAGGACGAATTATTGTGATGCGCTGGACAATATAAAAGATACACCAAAATTTACTTTCTAAGGTACTTGCTAAAAAAACAAACAAGAACCAACTTGGTGAACAGACGGCACAGCAACCAATTCATCGAAAGAATCGCTAGATCTGCTGTTGAAGTAAGGCTTCACTGGAAACTACACTGAACAGCCGCAGTACAATGGAACAAGTAACTTCTTGCTTCTAGCCAAGTCAGTGTGCCTTGGTGGTCAGCCCCCCCATGGTACGCCTAACACAGGTCGGAGATCAGATCAATTTGCTTAACAGCTGCTACATCGACAAGCTGCAGCGGCATTCGAACGTGGTCGCCAGGGTCGCCAAACATATTTAATGTTCTTTACTGAAATTGCAAAAGTACCAAGATATGGCTAACTAATGTTGGAGAAAACCTTACTTAAATATCGGACAGTGCGAAATATATGGGAATGATATTGGACGCAAAACATTATTTTAAGCGAACTTTAGAGGAGAGAATAACCATGTATCGCACTCTACACCACCAGAGAATTCTTTGTTATAAGCTGGGAGCCTGGTAGCCAGAATCATCCAAAATTAACAACATGTAGAAACTTACAGGATTAAAATTAGACGCCTGTGCAGGCATCCGAGGAGCTGTCAACACACTCCTAAACTTATTGCAAATCGACCTTCATATAATGCTCATCTGTTAAGTAAAAGACCAGTGAACTGTGCTTTGAAAGAAAATATACCACAAACATTCCCTCTAGGGAATTATGGGAGAGGAATCTGGTAGTCGACGCTCGTGAAGTTTCCTTTTACACCATCGTTTCTAAGATTGCTTGGCAATTGGCGGCCGGACTGCACTCGGAGAGTTTAAAAATCAAATCGTTTAGCTATGTGGCAGACTTTGCAAACGTATTCCATGCTGAGGTCTACGCAACATGAACGGGAAGTCAGAAACACAAAAGTGTCGATATACGCAGATTGCTTTAAATAACATTTAGGTCTCTATCCTCATACAGAACAAGCCCGAAACTTGTGTCCGACTGCAAGAGGCCATTGAATACACACCCGGGTTATATATATTCTTGGTCAGCGTCAATAATGAAAAGAATCTAGACGTGTCCGTCTGCCTGTCCGTATGTATTAGCGCATCGATCTCTGAACCTATAAGAATTAGAGATTTGTAATTGATCTTTGATTCTTCTTGAGTCCGCGCAGTACGAGTTCGTATCAAATGTTTGATAATCCGTCCTGTTTTCAATCACTCGCTGAAAATTGAGCATTTCTCAAAGGTAATCAAATTTACAGGCGAGTTCTCGTATAATCCACACAGATTAAGTTATTGAAATTGGTTGGTACCGAATGTAACATAATATATATATATATATATATATATATATGTAATGAAGGTGCTGGCAAAGATTGCGATTTAAGAAATTTCACGGAAAGGTGTAGAAGAATCCCGAAAAACATTTATATGAAACTATTTATTATTTTAATCCTCTCGGTCTATTACTCTACTGCAAAGATCTTTTTTAAAATTGATTTGAGAAGTGCTTCACGCTCTTCGCAAATTCCAATATTTCTTGGTAGAAATGGCGGTCAGAGATTTGAGGGGTGACGCTTCGAGCTCAAATTAATTTCCAAGGATTTTTTTAAATTTATTTGTGATCAGTTTCCAACTATTCACAAAATCAGTGAGTTTGGAAATACGACCCGCAACTTTGGAAAATTGACGGAATAGGGAATAGTAAATATTGAATAGTTATATAATAGTGTTTCACACCATTGTGGGTGGAAAATACAGGTCACAAATTTAATAAATGAAGTTAGGGTGTAAGAGCATTTGCAAAGGGGTTAAAGAAAATTCATTTGAAATGCAATTTACGCCTTTTGAAAAATTTATTAAAATTAGTCAAAGGAATTTCACTTGCAATTGTGGAAAATAGTCGGAAAAAAAGATTTTTGTTGTCTTCTGGTAAAGCATTAATGACGTGTGTCAAAATTTTCCAAAAGCCAACAAAAATGCAGACCAAAGATTAAAGAACGAAAGCTTATTTTTCGACATCAAGCCCAGCACCACTGGACTATAATAACGAAAACCGCTGATTCCAACTTTTTGGTTTTGTCCACGTTCGGAAAATGGGTGGATAATTTGTCTAAAACTTAAAGCGAAAAACTTGAAACCTGCTAAGGACTGAAAATACCATCTAGTAGACATATGTATGTATCGGACAAAACTTAAAGCCTAACTCATACATTGTTTGATCCGTATTTTATATATTGATATTGATTTTTGGAAATTTATTTAAGCCAGAAACTTCACCCATTAAACTTGACCCCCATTTTCACCAAGGAGAGATGGATTTACCGGAAATTGTAAGCCGCCTTTGGGCTGTGTATTGATCAGGAATCAGTCAGTCAGAACAAACAGTAGGTGTAGAACAAACACAAATAAAAATAGGCAACTTGTATAGGGAAATAGTCCTCATATTGGTTTAAGCTAAGATAACCCCGTTGCCTAGGCTCTGAAAAGAGTGGTTTCAATAAATTGTTATTCAACCAGAAATTCATGAATGCTATTGTACTTCATTTAAAAAAGGTGTTTTGTACACAGCTCTTAGGATCTCTATAACAAACACCTGAGTTATTCGATAACAAGTTCTATAAGAAAGACGCAAAATCACTGCTGAAAAGCTGTAAGTACGTAAGGTGCATCAAACCTTTATCAAAATTTATCGTACCCGAGCACTTTCGAGTTGGACTGACTTTGTAAACTGGACTGACAACAGAATGACTTGAAATAACACTTGTTGCAATTACTTCTTTTAAGGTAGGGGTGTCATACGGTATAATTTTATATAGAAATAGTTTGATTGTTCAAAATTTAAACGAAAGGCTTTTAAGGAATGAAGACCAAATGGCATATAGAGCAATAAGACTGATGTATATGGTGGAATCTTTGAAAATACTGTAGTAATAATAAAGCTTCTAATGGACATTACGAGTGGGCATGGCGTTACTAAGAAGCTGGTCGTAAACGTACAAAAAGTAGTTACATTTCAGTCTGGCATAATGCGCATCAATGTGAATGATGTATGAAAAACGATAGTGTTGGCAATGATGAACATGATTATGATGATGATTTGGTTATGTTAATGGCGTTGGCAATACTTTGCTCGTTACAAGTAAAAGTTAAGGTGGTGTTTTTTAAATTACCTAACAGATCGCTTTCTGATCGTACTCCGACGTGCAAGTGTTGCCAAACTGTTGTGTTCGACATCACCATTTGCGTGATAAGTGCTTGCTAATAAATGTGTTTGTGAGTTGGCGCCTCCTTCCCCATTCGGCTCAAAACTTATGGAGCCCTGTCGCGATCCTCCTTTGTCAAGGGCTGCCATATCGAGCAGGCAGTTAAAGAATGATTGTTTCTATTTTTATTTGTTTGCAGTGGGCGGTTGCAGTTTTAATGCCAGATCGGTGCCAGATCAGATTCGTTTATACCATTTCATAATGTTATTGATGTATTTATTTAATGAATACAGATTGTATGTTATAATTGTTTTCAATGAATTATTATTGTTTTGTTTATTTTTTTAATATTTATTTAATTGTTTTATTACGGTTGTATGTGATTTTTGTTGTTGTTGGTTGTTTGCATGTAGATTTCAAACGTTGTGGCAAGTTCAATTGTTTCATTGTAGATAAGTTGAGTGAGTGGTGAGTATAAAGATTCATGTTTACATTGCAACGCATTGGGTTTTGTTTGTTTTTTTTTTTTTTTTGTTTTGATTTTGATTATGTTCAAGCATTAAAATGGAATGTAAGAATTGTTATAGAATAATTGAAAATGTAATAAGTGGGTATCAAAATAAAAGCACATAACATAAAAATATTAATTAATATATATGTATATATATTTATATATATTATGTTTTTGTTGTTGTTTTTAAATATTCTATAAATATATATGTTTACGTATTAGATAAATATATTAATATTATAATAATGGGCAAATAGCGGGTTTCTGGAGATTTCATTGATACGTATGTAGGAGTATACCGTTTAGAGATGTTTAAAGCTCAATGCAATTTGTAATTTGTAATTTAAAAATGTGTCTGTAAATGTGTATGTATAAATGCATTCGCATTATGTATTCAATAGCAGCTTAAAAGAGCTTAGTTTTTTTTTTTGTAATTGTTTCGATCGTTATGGTAAAAACATGCGCAAACATTTTGACAACTCACTAGGTTTTGAAGAAAATCTATAAAGTATATATTATTATGAGAATTATGTGTGCTAATTTATAGAAAAGGTGGACAGAATTGGTTTTTGTTTACTTAAGTTTTGTCGTTTTGGAAATTTATTGGATTTAGCATGGTGTGGGTGTCTAGATAGCAATATATAACACAAAAGAAACAAACTGTAAGGCTGCTAATTGTAAGGTTGCATCTTCATGACACGTTCAGCTTAGATTATTTGTTGCATGCCAACGTTTTGATAAGTTAAGGTCTATGGTTAGATTAGATATGCAAATATTTGAATTTGTACCTAACTTATGACATACATTTTGGTGCATGCCTATCATCATAAAAATGATATATGAAACTCAACGGCACAACTTGTGAATCAACTAAAAATGTTAAATATAGGACATTTGCTATTGTTTTGGAACAGTTATTGATTCTAATTATTTTTCTTTATACTTCGTTTTGTTAATTCGTTATGTGATTTGTTTTATATTTATTGTTATTGCCGTACCCTTTTCCGGCATTTATGTTACTAAGTATAAGCAATAATAACTGCATATATAACGCAAATAAAACGTTTAGATAGATATATTCTTGATTTAATATTTGAATGCATTTATTTTATGGGTTATAAATATTGCAGAACAATGCCTTTCTATGCATACAAATTTAATGGTGCGAAATTCGTTTGCAAAACTCTATAAAATGTGCATTATTAAAAAGGCTCAGCAAAGATAAACTATAAAATAAATTTTGTAACTTTTAAAGTTTATAAAAAGTATAATAGTTTTACTTCTGCTGAGGGTGGACAATGTCTAAAATTGGACTAAGTGCGATTTTTGTTGCATTTAGATTGGTTGACCTAATGGCATCATTTAATTTGCCCAAATATTAATTGGTATACAGTCTAGTGTCGTCAAGCGAGTTGTAATTTAGCTAACTGATTGTCCCTACTCGATGGCTGTGTATTAACCATGCAGAAGGTAATTTATTTCGGTAACGAAATGTGTATCGTATAAATGTAGGCATCGTTGGTCCCAGCCGCATCAATATAGTTGTTGCTATGAGTCCTAAACCTATTGTCATGAAACTTTGCATAGGCACTCTTTTTTTTACAGACAGCAGTCGACCGGGAAGGACCATTACAACGAATCGGTCGGATATAAACATTTGTTTTTATAAATACATTTGTAAAACTATCTAAAAACATAAAGCGCATATTCCTTTCTTGTGTTTACTTTGGTTTTATGCACAGAAGGTTTTAATGTCCTTAGAAACTATAAATGGTTTAAGTTAATTTTTAATCATATTTGGGTTATATGTATACTTTTTTTTATAAAACAAGTTAGTGCCCGCGGCATGTACAACGGTGATAAAATAATTTGGAAATTGTCATACAGTACGATTTTATACAAGTATATGTGCTATGGCTTCGTACGTAATTGCATTAACAGGAGAGGATTGGCTTGAAATCCGAATTCAAATTGAAGCTTCGTCAGCCCTTGCTTGGTGAGCGAGTGAGAGGGAAGAGTATTTGTGTGGTTTTTGAAAGCAGAAATATAACCATAGCATTGCAATTATTTGTTACATAGGTGTTTTGTAGTACTAGATATTTAGAAATTATTTAGGTGTCTATGCAGATTAATATTGCATAATGCATAAAACTAGTGTATATTGATTCCTATATGTATATTCACGTTCCTATGCGAGTATGTACACATGCCGCTAGCCGATATTGGTAGTTACTTGCAGAAAGTTTTAAAATGGCAAAACGGTGAAAAGGGAGCTTATAAATGGCAAAGTAAAATCAAGCGAAAGACGTGTAAATATATTATATACCGGCTCCTCGACTGCCGTTGGGCTATATTTACGATCATCATCATCATCGGGTTTCTTCCGCTATCATTGCCCAAATATCCAATTACATGTATTTTGGACAATTTGATTTTAATCAGTTTGTCAGTTTTAATTTATCGATCGTTTGTGCATTAACAAGAATAAAACAATGTATGTCATTTAATAACTTTTTGTAGTCTTAACGAATTTGTAGTTCTTATGAATTGACTGTAATTTAAAAATTATACTTTCTATTAGGTGGAAAGCTTTGAAAGGTCTTTAAGACGTTTTGCTCAGTTCAAACAAATAACAGACGAGCTCTTATTTTGGCCAAAGAACTATGTATTACTTATGAAAATGTCGTTAAATGGGTATTTGTTTTTCTATGAATTAAGACATCAAATAATACTACTTGTAGCTAAAATAATAGCAAACATACGAGTCAAACTTGACAATCAAAATATCAACTCTTTAACTCTACCAATATATGTGTCTACTATTTTTCAACTCATTTCATATGAATTATATCAAAGTATAGGTCATGTTGTTTCCGAAAATTCACAATTTTTTAGATATATTCTGTCCAATAAGGCTGCACTTAACTGCAGCTAAAGTACATAACTTTGGAAGAACACAAAAGTACACGACTTTTTCCATCACTTTTTTTTCTTTTCTATTATATACAATTTTAAAACCCATTTTCTGATTGTAATCAGTAGTGTCGGATTAGAAAAATCGTATACCTCGATAATCAAAGACCCTCCAATCACTATTTTATTTCTTAAAATTTGGATTATTTAAATTAATTTAAAACTAACCTCATTGATTACGGGATTAGTACATGTATACTGTAGCCCTGGAAATATGGACTTATATGGAAATATTTTTGGCACGATAAAATTCGCTCAGACGGACAGTCACCCGGGCAATGCAGAAAACCTATATCTACCTATTTCACTCTATGAATATATCGTTAAGAGACCACATACCTAAGACATTACATTAAAAATCCCGCTCCGTTGACTTGACAAGGAAGGAATTTGAAAATTTTAAAAACACAGGCTTCTAATGAAAAATTCAGGATGTACATTTTAAATTAAAATTAACACTTATTATATTATTAACAATGCTAAGGTTTTGGGGCTTTTATGACTGGAAGCAGTGCGTTGAAGGCATACTACTTGAGTTCTTTTACTCTCATTCAACTTCAGAAGTCGACTACCCTGAAAAAGCTGGCCAGAGTTGATGACGAAAATTTATGAAATTATACTATATTTGAAATACAATGAATATAAAGTCTTGTTCATATAATCCACAAAAGTTCGGAAACTGATATTTTAGAAAATCTTTTACTTTTTAAAAGTTGTCTCTCTTGCGCTATAAAAATACAATTTGAATACTTTCTATAAAATCAAACTTGCTTCGATATGATGGAAAAAGTTGAATTTCTGGTACTTTCAAATTTTAATTAGTTGTTTATATATAGGTAAAATAAAGCAAAAAGTATGCAATGTGATTGTTTTTTAGATAGATACATATGTGACCAACATATACATTTACAAATGTGTAAAGTGTGAGGTTGCATATAAATTAATTATATACCTCCTTCCAATTCTGCGTTTTTATTTTTTAATGAAAATTATCATTTTTGTTGTAGTACATATTATTATTGTTTTAAGTTATTTTCGAGAATTCATTGTTAAACATATGAGAAGAAAAATCATAATATTTATTAATCACATATTTTCATTTAATAAAATATTTAATCAATATGCGCCTATTTTTACTGATAACATCGATTTATTGGCCTAGATTGGATCTAAAGAAAATTTTTGCGTCTGCAGAGGATATTATAATTTTGTCACAAATTATCTAAGCAACTTTTTTAGCACCATTTATTCGGTTCAAATTATTCAAGCTACGTTCAGGTAGAATCGCCTAAATTCTGTCTGACATTAAATTGTATATTTTTTATTTAAACTTTAGACTACAAAAACTAAGAAATTGTATTCCGCTTTAAAATTTGTTTATGAAATTGCTTCTATGCTTATTCTTCTTATTGCTTTTATTGGTACTATTGACAGCTTCTCGCATGATCTCCAAAACGGCTTCAAATGTATTTGGCGCAACCGACCCACGGTCCGCGTTTAAGTTTGTTGTGTCTACACACATCCTGATGAGTGGGGGCTGGTGTCAATCCCTCTTAGTCTTTTTATACCAGAATTTTTTCGGTGGCGGAGCTTAGCTTTATTTCGTATTTTACGAAATATACGCAATTAAAGTTGCCCATAAGCCAGAGGCGGCACGATGATCGAATTTCATGCAGCAACTATTTCTGATAGTTTTGAACTATCGTCAACACTTCTATATATTGGAATGCTATCTGCTAACTATTAAATATTGTAAATATATTTATAAAATAATGAGCAACAAATTCGAATAAGTAATTATAGAAAACGATATATTTTGCATAGAAGAGTCATCTATAACTAGCAGATTTCGCTTATATCGCATCGTTGTTGATAATTTATCGTCAAGTAGTAGTTGCTGCATAAGAACTTTTAATTGTAGATAAATGATATTATACTCTTTATTGTTAATCTGCGCTGCCGGAAATGATAGATAACTGAGTAGAATAGACACAACCCCAGACTTATATGAACGTTTTTAACCTTGGGTTGAAATCCAATTTTCTGTTTGTTTTTCTTTTCTAACTATATTTCCTCTCAAATAATTCTCGTAGTCTTAAATTTTTTCCAAATATTTTGGCTATGATTATGTATATATAAATTGTTGACCTGTGCTGAGTATTATCTTGTTCTATCCAGTAAAAAATTTAATTGGTTATTTTCTTATGGGTTTAACTAACAATATCTTGTTAGTAATTAATAAATGTACGGATTACAGAATATATTTTAGTTTCTGAAATATTTGTAGGAAATCCTATCCATGCCATAATAAATCGATTTCTTATCAGATATGCAATGTCGATTGAGTTGGCTTAATGTGTCGGGGTGTGGCTTAAAATACATATGTATTTTATTTAAACTGGTTACACAATCTATACACATATACAGCTGTGTGTACATATATTTTATTATTAAAAGTTAAACAGACAGAACGAAGTCATTAATGAAAGTGTCCATCCCCAAATAGAGTGATGTAATTGACAGAAATAAATATCAAAAAAAAATATATTTGTATGAAGAGGAAAAGTAATTCCTACGCTCGTAATTTTCAATTTTTGCACTTAATAGCTTTTTATATCTAGGCTCCATTTTGAATTCACACTTTCCTTAAAATATAAGTATGTATATCAAAAGGAGTGAAATAGACTGACTTATAACCCCTCGGAGCCAAAGTATGTCCAAAGTTGGTATTGATATGGCATTGAAAGTATAAGGCTACCATTTCGAACCATTTTTTCTGAATAGGGATTATCATAATTGGCTATTGCCCTTATTAACATGCCAAATAGCTGAAGTACGAGTTTTACGACACATTCTTGCTAACGTAGGATTTTTGGAAACTTACCGGCATGCCTGAATCAATCTGTCCGAATCTTGTATTTCTCCAGGATTCCAATATGAGAAAACCTGCATAGATTTTACCAACTGACAGTTTTCCTTTGTTCAATTGATCAATGGGAGGAACCAACAGATTTAACATTTTCTTGGCCTGCAATGGCCAAATGTTCGTGATGGTTTCCCTGAGCTCTATGTCCGCCTGATCCATTTCCTCCGCTAGATGAGGTTACACAAAAAACAAAAACAAAAAAACAGAGAACAATGCATCAATATTTTTTGTTGACAAACTAATTTGAACTTACGTGCTCGCATTTTAATGCTAAGATTCTCCCGAATCAGAGCAAACAACGTTGTGGTGAATTGGACTCTTAATTCATCGTCCAATGGCATATTCATACGTATAAGTTTCTTGTAGGCAAGTCGGTTTGGACATTTGTTACCAAATCCCAAAGGAGGATCCATGTTTTTCAGCATATCATACATTTCGGTATAATGTATTCTACCACTATTTTGGACATCCAACAGCAGAATCAGGAAAAAACATATCAGTTTCCATGATGGGACATTAATATTATCAGGGGGCAAACCAAAATTTTATATTCGATATCACCGAAGCTAAATACACCAATCACAAGATCATATGGGCCATCTTTTAAAGATTTAATGCATTTGAGAATGCAAAAACAGACAAAAACATCCGAATTTTTTGAGACCTTTTAAAATATTTAACCATTTTTTTTAGTTTATTTATTAGCATATTTATACGTTGATAGGCTTTTAATTGGCTCTTTATAAATATAAAATATCTTGTGAGGCATAGAAGAATAGTAAATATGGTATTCTACTAAAACAATCATACAGGACAGAACAAAATATAAAAAACTGTTTGAAAGCGAAAAGCAATAATGTTCCTATATCAATTAAACGATAGTGTGATTTCCACAAGAACACAAAAAGGGTGAAACCCATTTTTGGTACAAATACAAATCAGTAACTTTCCAGTATGATGCTACCGACTGGGCAGTACTCTGTTCACAATGCCATTAAAGACAAAAAGTGATGTTGCAGGTAAGTGATCGCAGGGATTTCACGACTATGAGTTATTAATACAATCATTCGAGTTTCCCTATATACTGTCAATATGCCGGTTAGATATTTTAGGTTCCTTCTATACATAAGTAACGCCGTTTCCTGTACACTTAATAATGCGGATAACCTTCCCTTTTCCTTCGCCATAAACTATGGAAAATGTATTCTTGAATAGCCTTGGCGCTGTTAGTCCCATCCCTTTCAATTTACCACCCGCATGTGTGTAATTACTGAAGCTTATTTGGGGGTAACGGAGGAAGCTATATATAAAGTTTAATTTATCTAGCTCTAATGATTTTAGTTTTATAATAAAACCAAGTAAAATAAGATGATACCAGGAAAAAAAAGTTAAGCTCCTTTTTGCGTATGATATAGAAGAATATATATTTCAAATTTCATTTCTTATACTTTTGTAGTTTCTGAGATCGATTCACACTGACGGACGGATAGACGGCATCACTTGATCGATTCAGCTCGACATCCCAATCAAGTATTTATAAACTTAATAGGGTCGGATATTTCTGTTTGCAGTTTGTTTTCTGGTTGGCGAGTATATAAGAGTATACATCGTCTAAAAATTGAGTTCAATGGGAGATACGGACGGATAGCACAAAATATAATATAGTATACTATTTACAATGCGAACAGAGTATAAAAATATGCCCAAAACATTTTTATAATAATATTTTTTAATCATACCACTAAATTTAAGGGGAAAATGTGAATATTTTAAAGTGTGCACTCAAGATTTTGCATATGCAAAGTCTCTTAAGTTGTTATTTTGACCGGAATTTATATGAAACAAATACGATCAAATAATAATCATTTAATATTTTCGAAGAGAATACGATTTGGATATAGGAATACGTATGTGTGTATGTGGTAAATAAAGTAACGAAGTGTTCTGATATAATTTAGAAAAATTAATAAATAGAAACAATTAAGTATATGAACATTAATGTATATATTAAAGTGATAATTACGTCGCATTTGGATCATATTCCGCCCATATGCGCACAAATTCGTCTAAGTGATGAGCACCCAGTATACTTGAGTCCCTCGTGAGATAATCGAAATTATCCATGATGACGGCCACGAACAGATTTAACATTAGAAACGAACAAAAGAATATAAACGATACGAAATAGGCGTAGGCCAACGTCGAACCACAGTACTCTCCGGCACCCTTCTCGGCATCATCGTCACAGGCCTTCCCTTTGAGGCATGCGAGCATTATGTTGGGCCACGCTTCGCCCGTTGCACATCTTTGAGGTGGTCATCAAGGAAGAGGATCGCCAATTAAAACAAGGACGGCACGAAAAATGTTAACCAATTAAAATTAATCGTGGCACAACCGGATTTATGCAGTAACTTTCTACGTAAATGCTGATTTACTTATGTATGCATGATAATGGCATATAGTTAATAACTCTGTACGTAGCTTATGTTATATATGTGAGTGTTTGTAAATGTGTATTTACAATAACTGAATCCATACACATATGTATATACGCAATTGTTTAAGATAGTTACATAGCTAATATTTAAATACATACTAAATACAACATACCAACAACATACATACACATATATATTCTTTATTTTTTTATGCTGTTATATATACGTCTATATATATAAATGTATGCATATAGTATATATTCTAGGCTACACTAGCATTGGGTACAGGGTATCTCGAGTCGAGCATTATATTAGTATTCATATTCGATGTATTAAAATAAAGCCACCAATCGTCCAGTTATTTCCAACCAGTAGAAAAATGACAAGTAAGAGATTCTAGTAGGGAGCTCCCGACCAGGGGATACCCTGAACCCTCTTCTTCCAACATCAAAAAAAACGATATGTCAAGTTTGGTGACTCTAGTTCTTATTATTTACCCAAATTGCCCAAAAAACAGGATATCGATACCGATTTTTATCGATTGCTTGGAAACGGAGTAAGTTATCGATCGACTCGATCTGCACGGAAGCTAGGAGCATCTACATCAAAATTTTAAGTCTCTAGCTCTTATAGGTTCTGAGATCCTCGCTTTCATACATACGGGCGGACGGACAGACAGACGGACATGACTAGATCGACTCAGCTATTTATGCTGATCAAGAATATATATACTTTATGGGGTCGGAGTTGCTTCCTTCTGCCTGTTACATACATTTGGCTTTCGCACAAATACAATATACCCTTATACCCATTTTTAATAAGTTCAGGGTATAAAAATCCAAACTTCGTGAAAATCGGATGAGATTTGACCGAGATATGGGGGTGGTAAATTTTTACCCATGTCTATATACGAATCTTGAGGTAAGATTTAGACATGAATTTCGACTAAAAAATCGGTGTTCAGATTTGAATGCCAGATTAATCTTGAGGGAAAACCATGAAGAAAAAGCCAAACTTCGTGAAAATCGGACGAGATTTGACGAGTTATGGGGGTGGTAAATTTTGACCCATGACCCATACGAATCTTGGGGTAAGATTTGGACATGAATTTCGACTAAAAAATCGGTGTCGAGATTTGAATGCCAGCTTAATCTAAAGGAAAACCATAAAGAAAAAGCCAAACTTCGTGAAAATCGGATGAGATTTGGACGAGATATGGGGGTGGTAATTTTTGACCCATGTCTATATACGATTCTTGGGGTAAGATTTGGACATGAATTTCGACTTAAAAATCGCTGTTCATATTTGAATGCCAGATTAATCTAGAGGGAAAACCATGAAGAAAAAGCCAAACTTCGTGAAAATCGGATGAGATTTGACCGAGTTATGGGGGTGGTAATTTTTTACCCATGTCTAGGTACGAATCTTGGGGTAAGATTTGGACATGAATTTCGACTAAAAATCGCTGTTCATATTTAAATGCCAGATTAATCTAGAGGGAAAACCATGAAGAAAACGCCAAACTTCGTGAAATTCGGATGAGATTTGACCGAGTTATGGGGGTGGTAATTTTTTACCCATGTCTAGGTACGAATCTTGGGGTAAGATTTGGACATGAATTTCGACTAAAAATCGCTGTTCATATTTAAATGCCAGATTAATCTAGAGGGAAAACCATGAAGAAAACGCCAAACTTCGTGAAATTCGGATGAGATTTGACCGAGTTATGGGGGTGGTAATTTTTTACCCATGTCTAGGTACGAATCTTGGGGTAAGATTTGGACATGAATTTCGACTAAAAATCGGTGTTCAGATTTGAATGCCAGATTAATCTAGAGGGAAAACCATGAAGAAAAAGCCAAACTTCGTGAAAATCGGATGAGATTTGACCGAGTTATGGGGGTGGTAATTTTTTACCCATGTCTAGGTACGAATCTTGGGGTAAGATTTGGACATGAATTTCGACTAAAAATCGCTGTTCATATTTAAATGCCAGATTAATCCAGAGGGAAAACCATGAAGAAAACGCCAAACTTCGTGAAATTCGGATGAGATTTGACCGAGTTATGGGGGTGGTAATTTTTTACCCATGTCTAGGTACGAATCTTGGGGTAAGATTTGGACATGAATTTCGACTAAAAAATCGCTGTTCAGATTTGAATGCCAGATTAATCTAGAGGAAAAGTCATGAAGAAAAAGCCAAACTTCGTGTAAATCGGATGAGATTTGACCGAGTTATGGGGGTGGTAATTTTTTACCCATGTCTAGGTACGAATCTTGGGGTAAGATTTGGACATGAATTTCGACTAAAAATCGCTGTTCATATTTAAATGCCAGATTAATCTAGAGGGAAAACCATGAAGAAAACGCCAAACTTCGTGAAATTCGGATGAGATTTGACCGAGTTATGGGGGTGGTAATTTTTGACCCATGTCTAGGTACGAATCTTGGGGTAAGATTTGGACATGAATTTCGACTAAAAATCGCTGTTCATATTTAAATGCCAGATTAATCTAGAGGGAAAACCATGAAGAAAAAGCCAAACTTCGTGAAAATCGGATGAGATTTGACCGAGTTATGGGGGTGGTATTTTGACCCATGTCTACTTATACATACACGAATCTTGGGATAAGATTTGGACATGAATTTCGACTAAAAAATCGGTGTTCAGATTTGAATGCCAGATTAATCTAGAGGGAAAACCATGAAGAAAACGCCAAACTTCGTGAAATTCGGATGAGATTTGACCGAGTTATGGGGGTGGTAATTTTTTACCCATGTCTAGGTACGAATCTTGGGGTAAGATTTGGACATGAATTTCGACTAAAAATCGCTGTTCATATTTAAATGCCAGATCAATCTAGAGGGAAAACCATGAAGAAAACGCCAAACTTCGTGAAATTCGGATGAGATTTGACCGAGTTATGGGGGTGGTAATTTTTTACCCATGTCTAGGTACGAATCTTGGGGTAAGATTTGGACATGAATTTCGACTAAAAAAAAGCTGTTTAGATTTGAATGCCAGATTAATCTAGAGGGAAAGTCATGAAGCAAAAGCCAAACTTCGTGTAAATCGGATGAGATTTGACCGAGTTATGGGGGTGGTAATTTTTGACCCATGTCTATATACGAATCTTGGGATAAGATTTGGACATGAATTTCGACCAAAAAATCGCTGTCGAGATTTGAATGCCAGCTTAATCTAAAGGGAAAACCATGAAGAAAAAGCCAAACTTCGTGAAAATCGGATGATAATAAATAAGAAAAAGCCAAACTTCGTGAAAATCGGATGAGATTTGACCGAGTTATGGGGGTGGTAATTTTTTACCCATGTCTATATACGAATCTTGGGGTAAGATTTGGACATGAATTTCGACTAAACAATCGCTGTTCATATTTGAATGCCAGATTAATCTAGAGGGAAAACCATGAAGAAAACGCCAAACTTCGTGAAATTCGGATGAGATTTGACCGAGTTATGGGGGTGGTAATTTTTGACCCATGTCTATATACGAATCTTGGGGTAAGATTTGGACATGAATTTCGACCAAAAAATCGCTGTTCATATTTGAATGCCAGATTAATCTAGAGGGAAAACCATGAAGAAAACGCCAAACTTCGTGAAATTCGGATGAGATTTGACCGAGTTATGGGGGTGGTAATTTTTGACCCATGTCTATATACGAATCTTGGGGTAAGATTTGGACATGAATTTCGACTAAAACATCGCTGTTCATATTTGAATGCCAGATTAATCTAGAGAGAAAACCATGAAGAAAAAGCCAGACTTCATGAAAATCGGATGAGATTTGACCGAGTTATGGGGGTGGTAATTTTTGACCCATGTCTATATACGATTCTTGGGGTAAGATTTGGACATGAATTTCGACTAAAAAATCGGTGTTCAGATTTGAATGCCAGATTAATCTAGAGGGAAAACCATGAAGAAAAAGCCAAACTTCGTGAAAATCGGATGAGATTTGACCGAGTTATGGGGGTGGTAATTTTTGACCCATGTCTATATACGAATCTTGGGGTAAGATTTGGACATGAATTTCGACTAAAAAATCGGTGTCGAGATTTGAATGCCAGCTTAATCTAAAGGGAAAACCATAAAGAAAAAGCCAAACTTCGTGAAAATCGGATGAGATTTGGCCGAGATATGGGGGTGGTAATTTTTGACCCATGTCTATATACGAATCTTGGGGTAAGATTTGGACATGAATTTCGACTAAAAAATCGCTGTTCATATTTGAATGCCAGATTAATCTAGAGGGAAAACCATGAAGAAAACGCCAAATTTCGTGAAAATCGGATGAGATTTGGCCGAGATATGGGGGTGGTAATTTTTGACCCATGTCTATATACGAATCTTGGGGTAAGATTTGGACATGAATTTCGACTAAAAAATCGCTGTTCATATTTGAATGCCAGATTAATCTAGAGGGAAAACCATGAAGAAAACGCCAAACTTCGTGAATTTCGGATGAGTTTTTACCGAGTTATGGGGGTGGTAATTTTTGACCCATGTCTATATACGAATCTTGGGGTAAGATTTGGACATGAATTTCGACTAAAAAATCGCTGTTCATATTTGAATGCCAGATTAATCTAGAGGGAAAACCATGAAGAAAACGCCAAACTTCGTGAATTTCGGATGAGTTTTTACCGAGTTATGGGGGTGGTAATTTTTGACCCATGTCTATATACGAATCTTGGGGTAAGATTTGGACATGAATTTCGACTAAAAAATCGCTGTTCATATTTGAATGCCAGATTAATCTAGAGAGAAAACCATTAAGAAAAAGCCAGACTTCATGAAAATCGGATGAGATTTGACCGAGTTATGGGGGTGGTAATTTTTGAC